ATCTGTGGAGACATTGTCAGCCTCTCCATAGCTCTTTTACTTCTGAAGCTCTCCTTTAAATTTATAGTTTCTTTGAATTTCCACAACTATCCTGAAGTGGATCTGTAAGCTTGGACTAGCAAAGCTAGTTTTTACACACTCATCCTCCCACCCGGAACTGGGCCCACTGTGTCTGGATTCAAGACTTCTGGTTCTTACCTACCATCAGACCTAAAGTTAATGAAAAGTTACTGTTTTTATTGACCCCGTTGATGGGGGAAAGGATAGCTCTAGGAAGTTTCCTGATACTCTTGGCTATGGCTGAAGCCATTTTCTAAGGATAAATGCATTCCAGTTTTTGCCCTGAAATTGTTTTTGACATTTTTTCCCAGAGGAAATCACTCAACTTCATGTTGTCATTAATCTCTAAGTCCCTTGCAGGCCGCCTTTAAATCATCTGTCAGCTAGGTAGTCCCTGTCATAGAATCCCTCTAGAACTACTTTTAAAATTTTAGCCCAGTAGAGCATTTGATGTAAAATTATCTTGTTTTTCTGTTCTTAGGTTGCTTATGATGAAGCTACAGATGAATTTGCTTCTTACTTCAACAGACAAACTTCTCCCAAGATTCTCATTACAACGTCAGATAGACCTCATGGGGTAATAATTTGTGTAGTTCTTGAATTCCTAATGTTCGTTTATTATTTAGACTATTTAAAGGAACTGTGTTCAGAAGAGTTAATTAGTGATTGATTGCCTTAGATGAGGCCTGTGAATAAGCTGAATAAAATTCAACACTGGTGATGGAATGTAAGTTCACCAAACATGATTCTTCAGGATAGGGTTTCTCAATCTCAGCACTGTTAACGTTTGGGCTGTGTAATTTTTTGTTATGGGAATTGCCCTGCTCATTATAGGACGGTTAGCAGCATCTCTGGCCTCTATCTACTAGATACCACCAGTACCAGCCATCCCCCAACCCGTCATAATCACCAGAAACATTTTCAGACATTGCCAGAGGTCTCCTGGTGGAACAGAAATCACCACCAATTCAGAGCCACTGCTTTAGTATAATCAGCCTTTGGTAAAGAATGAAACAGTGTTCAGATTGCATTCTCTTCCTGGCCTTGCTCTCTATTAACATTATTTTATAATAATCATTATATCTTTTCTGATAAATATAAATTTTTGTTTTCACTTTGGAAGATTTTTGTGAATTTTGTTTTACAGAGAACAGTACGACTTTGTGAACAGCTCTCCACAGTTATACCAAACTCACATGTTTATTACAGAAGAGGACTGGCTCTGAAAAAAATTATTCCACAGTGCATCTCAAGAGATTTCACAGATCTGATCGTTATTAATGAAGATCGTAAAACACCAAGTATCCTTTGTTTCTTTAAGGAAGGGCTTGTATTTTGCATGGGTTGTGTTTTTAAGAGATTAGCAGTAATAAAAACTTTCTGTACAGTGCAGTTACTTAGGAATTAATAAATTAGGATTTTGTAGTTTGCCTTTGACACAAACCGTATTTGGTAGGAATGTTTTCAGAAGGATTCAAACCTTGATTTAGGTTACAAGAAATGACTGTTACCTTTCTTAACCCCCTTAGGATTTGATTAATTTTTTCAGTGTGCAAATGACACAAATACTTTTGTCTGTGTGTCATGACATTGAACCTGTGGTGAATCTTTGAAAAGAAGTATTCAAACATTTACTGATAGATAATCTGCTATGTGGTAGGCACTAGTATGTGTCAGAAATAGATCCTTCAAGAGCTGATGGATTAGATGGGAAAAACGGGATTTACATGACTATAACTCAAGTGACAAGTGCTATAGTAACAATGAAAACTGAGATTTAGAGCTTAATTTTGACTATGTAAAAAGAGGCGGCATTTGAAGTGGAACTTACAGAATGAGTACACTATTTTTAAGTATTTAAAATAGTATGAGTTCTTTAAAAAAAAAAAAAAGACATGGTAAGATTAATGCGTATGGTGTGTAGGAGATTGTATCACTGCCTACCAGTTAGGAAACACCATAGGGAGACAGGTTAGAAAGGCAGTTTGGAGCCACATTGTGAGTGCCACACTAATAACTTTTAACTTTGACATCAAGAAGGGAGCTTAGGAGTCTCTGGTTTTGTAGGATGATAGTCAAAGCTGACAGCATATCCTCACCTTACAAACTTAAAAGTATATTTTTAGGATTATAAAGCCTCTACATGGAAGTGTACTTACTCTAAAATCCCTTCCTGTCTCATTCTTGCTAGAGTGGTGGGCTTCAGTTGAATGCTCAAACACCCTGTTGAAAATTATGATGAGCTATTTATCATATTGTGAAAAGAGAAAAGGTATGACAATAGGTTAATCCATTTTCTGAAAGATTTATGTTGACTTACCATGTTTTTGAGTTTGAGGTTTTGTAAGAAAACTTGTTAGCCCAGAAGCATAAGTTCCTATTCACCTAGCTACAGATTTTAGGAGCCTTTGGGTATAGAGGACCAATTATTTAAACAATACAAGATTTGTATTAGAGTTCAGTATGTTCTTAGCTTTCTGAACAGATGGATTAATCCTGAGTCACTTGCCAAATGGACCAACTGCTCATTTTAAAATGAGCAGTGTTCGTCTGCGTAAAGAACTTAAGGTAAGTTTTAGGCATTCCTTGATTGGCACTGGTCTCCTCATAATGTCTGCTTAAGTAGATGCTGTAACTAAAGAGCAGGTTGATTTTAATAATGGCACTTGTTCTGACTAAAGCAATAGTTTTATCTACTGACAGTTTCCTTGTGAGACTGATTATTGCAGACAGGCCAACAGCCTTCAATACAATGAAACATGTTACTCTTCTAAAACATGTTGGTACATTCACAGTATATAAAGTACTTTTAGATACATCTTAGTTCATGGGTTTGGTAAGCCATCTGTGCTTATTTATTAAGATAAATTTTCATGTTTATCATATATATTATACAACTTAAAATTGCAGTGATAATGGTTTTGCTAAATTCATTGTGACTTTAAACCATTTTTCTAGAGAAAAGGCAAGGACCCCACAGAACACATACCTGAAATAATTCTGAATAATTTTACAACACGACTGGGTCATTCTATTGGACGGATGTTTGCATCTCTCTTTCCCCATGATCCTCAGTTTATTGGAAGGCAAGTTGCTACATTCCACAATCAGCGGGATTATATCTTCTTCAGATTTCACAGGTGAGGAAGGTACCTTAACTCCTTGGACTTTGACATTAATCATGGAACACATTTTCAACAAAAACCTGTTTTCTAATGTATTATGGCAGGTATCATAGATGAGAACTAAATTGTCTTTTGAACCCTGACATAATATTAAGGGAAGTAAAAGTTGGATTTATGCAAACTAATATCCTCAACTTTTTTCTTTTATCTTTGAAGATACATATTCAAGAGTGAAAAGAAAGTAGGAATTCAGGAACTAGGACCACGTTTTACCTTAAAATTAAGATCTCTTCAGAAAGGAACATTTGATTCTAAATATGGAGAATATGAATGGGTCCATAAGGTATGTGCTTACTCTTGAAAAGTCACTTAGATTTTAATTATAAAATGAGAAGGAAATCATGTCTCTTTAAGCTTTGGGTTTTACACCTTAAGTTATGCTTTTGAATGTCTTTCCTCACTGATATGGTATTTGGCTCTGGTGATTAACCCTGCTTCAACTGAAGTTCAGTTGAAGTATCCTAAAGATTAGTGGTTCTCAAAGGACCAGAAGCATCACTAAGAAACTTTAAGGAAAATTGCTGGGCCATTGACCTACTAAATTGGACCCAGCAATCTATAAGCCTGTGTTACCCTAAGTCTGGTATGTGCTTGAGAACTGTAGATATCTGGAGATAATAATAAATCATAAATGAAAACTTCATTATTTTAAAACATAGTTTTCTGTCTAGTAATCAGTATTTCACTGAAGTGATTTTTACTTTAAAATTGTATATATTTTACACATACATCTACTGGAACAGTAACTTCCAGCACCTTTTATATTAGACCTAACAGAGACCCAAGTTTTTAAGCACTGTTACCCAGATTGGTTACTCACTCTTTTTTACCCCCTAACTTTCAGCCCCGGGAAATGGATACAAGTAGAAGAAAATTCCATTTATAAAGTAACTGAAGGAATAGTACTGGATTTTGATGAGCAGGCCTATCTTGAAATTCTGACAGAAGACTCTTCAAAAAGGCCTTTAATGACAGCATCTTCTTTCCTGTCTAGACAAATTACCTAGTGCCATGAATTACTACTCACTGTTTCTGTAAGAAATATAAATAAAAAGTCATTTTGGTAAGAATTGCAATTCAGGTTTCCTAAAATTTGTTATTTTTGGTAACTTGAATAATTAAGTTGGAATCAAAAATCAATCTTTCTGCTATGAACCTTCATGAAATGTGGGCTAGAGGAAAAAAAAGATTACTGTGTAACCAACACACTGGTTTTATACCAGACTTATCTTGGATCTGGCACAGTTTTTAACTCACTTTTCTGAATGTTTGGAGGCCTGGTGTCTGGAGTGTTTTAACATTCCCTGAAGCCTGTCAGAAAGATAAAAAATTTTAAGCAAAATGGTTTCCCAAGGACTTGAAGCAAAGTTGCAAATTACTGAAGCCAATCTTTCGTTCTTTTTTTTCTTACTATATTGTACTTCATTCATTGCATTGTGGTACTCCAGGATTTGTCTTAAGTTCTGAAGTTTTTCTTAAGAGTCTGATAGAAACATGTGTTATTAAAACAAAGTTAACCCTATAAATAACTCCTGAATAGAAACTAGTATTAGTAGCTTCCCCTAAGCCTTGAAGTATGCAAACTTACCTTTATTTCTGTAGCAGTCTTGGAAATGTATGGCATAGAGTAATCTGAGAGGAGTTGGTGGGAAAAATGCTAACAACTTAACCCATAATGACAATGGGAAAATTGCCATTTATCAGGTGTTCAAAACAAATTAATACATAGTTTATTACCAATAATTAAGCAAAAACCCTTTTATACTAAGTATTTATTTGTATGACGCTGCCAGTGTATATAAAATAATCATCCTTGTGAAGTAGAAATTCATGAAAATTCAGAGAGGTAGATGTTAAGGACTGACAAAAGCCGAAGTTTGTATAGTGTGGCACGTGTTACAGGGATAATAAGCTTTTTGTACAGGCTTCAAATTTAGCTCTCTTTGAATATTCACTGGTTCATGAAAAGTGGTTTAGAATACCTGAAAGGGAGGAGAAAAAGGTGAATTAGGGTAAAGTGTCAAAGAACAATAGTTTTTTATTTTTTTGAACAGCAGTACATCTTGTATTTTACAGTATCCATCTAAATGGCAGTTTATAAAATACTTTCAATTAAGCAGACACATCGCAGGGTTTCTAGAAAAGAAAAATAGGATGGAAAATGACTATAGTATAACTTAATTTCAAAACCACTCTAAAGTATATATCATTTATGGTTTATAAATAAAACTTAAAGATTGACTTGCCAAGATCATTTCTAAAATACTCTCTGATCTCAATTTTAAAAAAGGTTAATACCAAAATCTCTCTTAAAGTTGAAAAAAATCCGAACACTCCTACAAAATAGGCAATAGCATTGCAAAGAGCAGTCTGGTAATAGCCAGTAAGGTAGAAAATGCAATCACACTTCTATTTACCTAGATAAACCTATACACAAAGAGAAATGCGTACACTGATAGTGCCTGTAGCGATATTTTAACAGCAAAAGAAAAAAAAACGAAATAGCTTCAATGCAACTCAACAGGGGGAAAAGATAAAAAGATTTATAGCCATTAAAATGACTAAACAGTTTACATGGAGATAAACCAAGAAACGTGTTGTAAAAAGTAAAAAATATGGGCATACGAACTTTAAGGTGTTATCTATGTGGAAAGGTAAGAAAAGTGTATCTTTTAAACTATTTTTTTAAAAGATGGGTCTAATCTTGTGTATTTATTGAATAAATTAGTCCTGGGTAAAGAAAACTAGGTTTGAGGACTGAGGTTGGGGAGGTGAGGAAAATTATTTAATTCGGCATGGTAGATACAGGGTTCATCTTTATACTTATTTGAAAAATTGAGATATTTTGTAATGAAAGTGTTCAATTAATGCAAATTATTGGGTAGGCCCAAAAGTTCATTTGGTTTTTCCCAAATGGCTCTAATAGCACTTAGTTGTCTTTAACTTCATTTGAAACAATTTTGTTAGATTGTATTGTGTGACAGCTGTTACTCAGAGTGCATTTAAAAAAATCAAAATTGGTGAATTTTTATAAAGCCATTTTAATACTGAATGGAAAAAATATGCAACATTTTCAGCATATTGTGCTTATTTCAAGAAAGGTAAATAAGCAACTGAAATGAAAAAAAAGATTTGTGTAGTGTATGGAGAAGGTGCCAAGACTGCTCGAACTTATCAAAAGTAGTGTGCAAAGTTTTGTGCTAGAGATGTCTTGCCGGATGATGCTCCGGGTAGACCAGTTGAAGCTGATAATGATCAAACTGAGACATTAACTGAGAATCATGAATGTTATACCACATAGGAGATAGCTGATAGACTAAAAATATCCAAAGCAATAAAGTTATTGGTGAAAATGAAAAATGTCTTACATTTTATGGAAAAAACCATACAGACTTTTTCACCAACCCAATAAAAAAAGGGGGGGACAAGATGGGCAGAAAATAGTAGCAAATAGGTTGGCAAGGGCCCAGCATCCAGCTTCAGGTGGAATAGCAAAGTTTATTAAAAAGACTGGTGTTAATAAAATTTAAATGTCAAAACATTCCTTTTAATGTAGCCTCAAATTTGGAAACTTCAATATTCAATAAAGTATAATTAAGTTACAGTACCACCATCAAACATCTCATTTACAAATAATATTTAATGAAATAAAATTCATGTTTTTAAGAAGAATGAAAAACAACATACTATAATCTTTTTTTTTTTTTTTTAATCCTCACCCAAGGATATGTTTATTGATTTCAGAGAGATAGGAAGGGGGGAGAGAGAAACATCCAATCTGAGAAATGTCCATCAGCTGCCTCCTGTATGCAACCCTGGCCCTGACTGGGATCAAACCTACAACCTTTTTAGTGTACAGAACAATGCTCCAGCCAACTGAGCCACTCAGCCAGGGCAATCCTCACTTTTTAATTTTTTTTTCTCTTAAAAGGAAGTATCTGTTAACAATAGTTATTTCTAGGAATACTGACCATGGTAATTTGTTATTTTCCTTATACTAGCTATTGATAAATTGCCTATGCTGTTTTTTTTAATTATAAAAACCGTATTATTTTTAGAAGCTACAAGTATAAAGATTCACCTGTAGATTCTTTGTACCCATGCCACTTCCACTCATTGTGGGCCTAGGACCACCAGCACTACCATAACCTGGGAGCTTGTAAGAAATGCTGATTTTAGGGCCTCACTCCAGACCCACTGATTTAGAACTGGTATTTTAACAGAATGATTGGTATATACATCAAATTTGAGAAGAAATGCCTTCACATCAAAATATTTTTTAACTAGCCAGAAGTGTTTCAAATCAATTACCTACAAATACTGCCAGGATTAATAACCATTATTTTACTTTGAAACCTGGGTTATTATCCCAGCCATACTGAAACACTTATCTGCAGACTGCTGTGAAATATAGACTATTAACAGCCAGTTAAGAGCCACGCTTCTTAACAGTATGTTGTATCAAACAAAAATAAGCCATTTTGTAAAGTGAATACAACTGGAACCAAAGTTTCAAAAAGATCTTCAATAAACCATATAAATACGTAATTTCCAAAAACTGCCATGAAGAATTAATATTGGCAGAAGCAAGGAACTATGAAATAGGAGGTAGACTGTTAATCACTTCTATATGGAAACCCATTATTCAAATGTGCCCCCCCCCATTTCAAAAACCTTAATCTACTTAACCAATCACTGCATTTACTGGAAACATGTTACACTTATACAAACTTCCTGGACACTCCCAAGTCTACAAAGTAATTAGGGAGGGCACAGCTATGTAACATGGTATTTTAGGAAGCAGCTTCCTGAACTTTGAGGAGTTAGAATGTTTGTAAAGGGTGTGTGCCATACTCTCTCTTTTTTTTTTTTTAAAAGTACTATTAGTTTAAGGTTGCTTCCCATAGGTCAATATAACTAAGTATACACCCTGACTAAAGTACTATGCTACATAAAAAGTAGTACCCTTTAAAATTATCCAGAGCATGTGTCGGTCACATGTTTTGGACTAACATGTTTTTGCACATACTGACATTTGATCTAGAAGGCACAGATTAAAATTTAGAAGTCAGCCCTGGCTGGTGTGGCTCAGTGGACTGAGCACTGACCTGTGAACCAAAAGGTCACTGGTTCGATTCCCAGTCAGGACACATACCTGGGTTGCAGGTCAGGTCCCCAATTGCGGGCATGCAAGAGGCAACTGAATATCTCCCACACACTGATGTTTTCTCTCCCACTCTTTCACCCTTCCCCTCTCTCTCAAAGTAAATAAATAAAATCTTTTTAAAAAAATTTAGAAGTCAGCTTATCCAACTGTCTCATTTTCTCTTGCATTCACAACTCCCCATTCTTTGCTAAGCTTCCCTATAGCTTAATTCCAGTAAAACAAAAGCATCAGAAATCAATCCAAATCAATTGGTAGTACTCTAAAAGTCATCCCCATAAACAATGCAGATTTTTAAGAAACTGTTTGCTATGTACACAAAAATTAGTATCTTGGGGCCTGAAAATACACCATTAGGCCATGCTATAAGAAGTGACAAGGTGTCACAGTGGTGTAATTTTCTTGTTACTCTTCTACATACTCTATTAAATCATCTATTTAACCCTCTTTATGATAAAACAGAAACCACTAGTCTTCCTGACTACTAAATCAGTAAATTTCATCAATCCTCACAAAACAAGACGGGAAACCTGCAGTGCCAAACAAGTGCACAGAGGCAAAGAAAAAGAAGACTGGTTATTCCCATCTCGCTGTGTGCATTCTGTTGTTTTACTTACCTTCAAAGGTTCATTTCATTACAAGAAGGAACAAACTTTCTGGGGTCTGAAGGGATTGGTACTTGAAGATACTCCAGTTAGCAGGGGGTCATGTTGGGCATTCTGCAGACAGAATTGTTTCAAATCTGCAGCTGCCTGGGAAACCTATACATAACAAAGGGGGAAGGGGTAGAAGGTGATGTTTTAAGGGAAAGTCCTCTCAAATCTTTCACAATACCTGCAATCAACACTTAACTCAAAACATACTAAATGAAAGGTTAACAGTTACTACTGAACTCTTAAAGCACTGAATGTTAATGAGACTAGTTTATGTTTTCTTTTGCTCATTAAAAGCATCAAATGATTCAGTACAAACAGTACAATTCCGTTTATCTGCAAAGTACAGCACATTTTGCTAGCTTATTAATAGCAGGCTGTTCAAGTGCAACCTTGAGGGTAAGCCACATTTTTTATTAAAAGCAGTACACACGATATAAAAAGCAAAGCAAAAAGCATAAAAATTCTAGCAAACTACTACTTCGTCTTGAAAGCAGTATTTCTGGAAAAATGCTACTACTGTGAATGAACACAGCATTCTAAATCTAAACCATTCAGTCCATTGTTTTGGTATTATGTATCATCAGCTGTTTAATGTTACTGGAAAGTCAGAGCTTTCTCCCCAGTGTCAGATGACTGAAAAGCTGATAGTAAACTTCAGTTAATTTTAACAAACTGAGTAGCCTTAATTTTCATGTGTGTATGCAATGCCACGAAAACAGGACTTAAGGAACTTATATGGCTTTACAGTATACTGTATCATTTAAATATTCTCTATTTGTATATATTCTGGTAAGGTGATGCAGGATACAAAAACAATGAACTGAACGGTTCAGGTGTGGAATATGGATGACTAAAAGATGCCCCAAATAATAAAATATCCTAAGTCTTGAAGTTCAGGAAGATGGGAAAAATAATCATTTATTCTCAGTTTTAACTATCCTCAAGGAAGGTGAAAGCAGTTAGTTGTCCAGTCCAGCTGGTGTATTTGGCTTTTGAAAAGGAAGTAAGAGCATCACAAATGGTCTCTATACCAAGAAAGCCAGCAAACTATTGCTGTACCCCAGACATTAACCTGATAAAAGGATCCATCATTCTGAGAGGAATCTAAACTCTGCTCTCAAAATCTATTTGTATGTCTGACTTACACAACTGTCCAGTTGTATGGTAATGAGTTGTATGGTAATGGGTAATGAGTTCCATAGGTTTATTTTGTAAGTGTGTAAAGTAGTAGTTTTAAAATACCTTGTACCAAGTACTATGCTAAATGGCGACTCTGCTCCCTTCAAAAAGAAGGTAGGTTTAGAGGTAAAGTGGTATCATTTTTCACAATCTTGTAACTTGATTTCATTCATATTAATCAGCAGTAAAAATACAGTAAAGTATCTTAATGTTCTGCCTAAAGTGTAGTAAGCTCCAGCTTAACTCCCTTTCACAAATATACTTCTAGGGACTGAGAATAAGTAAAAACCACCAAGTCCCTGCTGTTATGGAGCTGACAGTTCAGAGAAAAAGACAGACAAGGTGCTCTAAAGTGGTTTGTTAGAATTTGACCTACAGGAAGGTGTCACTGAGGAGGTGACATTTAAACTGAGATCTTGATGCCCAGAAATCCAGCCAAATAACCATCAGCATGAAACTAATCAGTGAGAATTTCCATGGAGTGGTCGAAAACTTGAGACAAAAGTTCTGAAACTCAACAAGCGGCTAGCCCCTAAGGCACCATAATAATCACCATTCAGAAGACTAAATCTTGCATAATTATGAATGCCCTCTTTCAATCTCAAAAGTGTCCTGGGATGGCAACGAATTGCATGGTCACCTGATATGTGGGAGAATTTATCAAGCATTTGTGACAATTTCTATCAACTGTACTGAAACAAAGGTTTAAACAGTAAACTTGTGGAGCTTAAAAATATCCCTAAAAAAACCCCAAAAGCCCAACATTTTGCCAGTGGTCAGGGATAAAAAGGATGCACAAAATGAACACACCACATTCTGCAACTCATCCAAAGAAAAGTTCATATTAAGTCCCAAGGTGGAATGTGCCCCTCCTCCCCCAACCCTAGCATCAGATAAATTCAGAATTCTGAAACCAAGTCACTTGTGATGGCTTTAATGATCCCGACCGGAAGCCTTCTACAGAATTAAGTATAGGAGCAGGCATCATGCTTAGGAGTTATTGGAGGGGCTAAGGGTTTCATAACAAAGCCCTCGAGCACTTTATTCTGAGAACTTCACCTCATTTTCTTTGGAGACAAGGGCTAAGTACCCCTACTTAAATTAACAAACTTTCAACCAGCATTTTTTTCTTTCCTGGGACACTCCAATCCATGATAAAGGCACACCTGAATGATAAAGTAATGGTTGGCTAAGAAATACACGTCAAACTTCAGAGTTAAATCCAACCAAGACTGACCATAAATACCACTGGATAAGGTATCTGGAGATTAGAGAAATGAATTCCAAACAGCAATGGAGTCCACAGCACTTACACAACAGGGAGGGGAATCCCATACCAAGATTGGTGGGAATTTCCCTATCCTCCTGAGGTCCCTGACATTTCTACTTAAGGAAATAAGTAAATGAGAGACCATCTTACTCTTCGAAACATTTCTGGGAGAAGTCAAGAGTAGCCTGATGAGCAAAGAATTAAATCATCTTGGAAAATGGCTGCTGTTTTTAATGGAGTGAATGATTTATATTCTACTCTCGTTTTTTTTTTTTAATTGTAACAAGTTTCATATAAAAACTGACCTGTACCAGAAAGAAGCCAATCCACTTGAAATTTAAAAAATCAGAAGCTTGGACTAACACTTTCAACACACACGAAAGGCCTTTTCCCCCCAAAATACTTAACAGAAGACAAGGTCAATGCTAACCAGACGCCAAAATAAGCAAAACTGGTCCACGCTAATCACTTTTGTGGTATCCGGACCTGTAGATATCCCCAAGGTCAGATCACGGCAAACTGCCAAACAGGTATGAAATGCACGCTTTGTATGAGGCTGGTTATAGAGGGTACTAGTGGTAACCTTATACACCAGGAACGTTTCAAAAACAAACACGCTTCTTTAACCTAAAGTTATGCCAGAATCCGTTCCCAAGTATGTGTTCAGGGAAGGGGAAAAAAAATCTACTACTAAAGGCAGTGGGTTTGGAAAGGTTTGACACGAGCACAAAAAAAGAAAAAAAAATCTGCTTTCAATCAAAAGTAGGATAAAACTGTCGGGTGTCGAGAGATGGTGGAGGGTGGTAGAGAGCGACGGGAAGGGTGCGGACCGCGCGCGGAGCAGCTGCTGGCTGGGCCAGTCTTGGAGCCGCCGCCGAGGGAGGGAGAGGGGAGGAGGGTCGGAATGCGGAAAGCCGCAGTACAAGCCAGCGGCTGCCCATTTTGGAAAGTTCTGGGGCGGAAGGACGCACTAACCTGCCCCCAAACCACAGCGCCGACCCACGCGGCTCAGTCTCTAAAAGTTGGCAGCTCCCGGGCCGGCGCCGAGAGCGCAACCTGACCAGGCGAAGCGAGTCTCGCCCGCCCCAGCCGGCTAGTCTGCCGCTTCCCACCCGCGGCCGCCACTGCCGCCTTTCCCTCCCCTTCGGCTGCCCGACCCCGCTTACCTTCACGCGGTTGAGCCCGGCCTCCAGCCGGAGCTGCTGAACCACTTTCTTCATAGCGGTGACACTTGAGGAACCAGACATGGTGCACGCGACAACTGGGCCTACTTGGTTGTGAGTCCGCGGCACCAGACAGCAGGGCAGCGAAGCCAGAGGCGGGGCTCGGAACTTTGTCTCTAAGTTTCCGGTTCTTTGCTCAGCGGCTCCACCCTCAGCGCGCATGCGCGTCCGCCTACGCGAGCAGTTTCAGCTTTTCACTCCCGCGGGAGACAAGCCTGAGGGAGGCGGAGAAGGGAGCGAGGAGGGGCAGAGGGGACGGTGGGCGCGGCGACTGCTGGAGGCGACCGCAGACGTCCCGCCCCAGCCTCTCCTCTGCCGATTTGGGAGAGGTAAGGAAAAAGCTCATTACTGGCCGCCGAGACCAAGAGGGACTCTGAAGGATACCGGTGAGCGAAAGTCGGACGCTTGAGGGAGTTTATAAAAGGCCTCGTGGAGGGTTGACAAGGAGGTTCCAGTTTTCCTGACGGAGTTGGCGGCTGAGGTTAAGGGAAGGGGAGATCCCTACCGAGCCATGGGAGCCAGAAGTAACTGGCGCGTTGTTGGCACCCCAGCACCACAGAGACGCGTCTTTCAGAGACCAAATTTTGTCCAATGGGCGACCCATCGCTCAGCCCGCCTACCCATCGTCGGAGCCCTAACCCCGAAGGAGGGCGTGAAGATCGCTGTAACCCACCGAAGGGAGCAGGGGCGCTGGTTCCCTAGAGAAAAGAGAATCTTCTCACGGTTTAGCTTCTGTTGCCTCTTGCCTCTCGGTTTTCTGGAAGAGGCTGTGAAAAAGCCAAGGTGCTGATTGTAGCTTACAGCTGTCTTCTCATTACCTATTTCATTTGGGGGGTTAACGCTTATTTTACTTTAAAAAATAAAACTATTTTTTTGTGTGTTTTTCGGGAAAGTTTGCTTATTTGTGTTTAAGTTGTAATGCTGTTACCTGCTGCTTGAAATTGATCTTCAAAGGGGTTTTCTAAAGAGACAGTAGTATCTAATCAAGCAAAATAGGCTCAGTTGCACCCATGGGAAAAGTTTTGTGTTACGTCACAGCATTTAACGACAGATATTTCCGATTCTGTGTAGCTCGTCAATGAATATACTGATGATTTCTGTGAAAATGAATAATTTCATTGTTCATTTAAAAATTTTTGTATAGTGAAAAATTCCATATATAATTTGCTCTATGTCGACAAAACCTAACCTTTCTAAAAACCTTTCTTTGCTGCAAGCTCCTGTTCACATCTTACTGGGCTTCGATGTGCACAACACAAACAAATGAATTCCTCTAGTACAATAACATGAATGAATGGTCTTATAGATTATATAGGACTAGAAACGTGCTTCTCTGCCTCCCAATCAATTCAATTATTTTGTATGAGATTCTACTATATTGTTATGTTTAAATGTAGGTCACTTTGGGTATCTAATTTTAGTATTTATTTAGGATTTTCTAAAGTCCATTGAACATCTCTTTTTATGCCCTATTATCAAATCAGACAAGAAATAAAAATCACCAAAATCCTTAATTCTAGGCACTGAACAGAGACTAAGAAATTCTTAAGCATCCCTAAAGATTCCACCAAAAAACTACAAGAACTGATAAATGAATTCACTAAAGTAGCAGGATACAAAATATCCAGAAATCAGTTGCATATTTATACACTAATATTGAACTACCAGAAAGGAAAACTAAGAACACAATCCCATTTATAATTGCATCAAAAAATAAAATACCTAGGATTAAATTTAAGCAAGGATGTAAAAGACCTGTACTCAGAAAATTATAAGACACTGAAGAAAGAAATTAAAGAAGAGCTAATAACCCCAACTCCCTTGATCACCATGATTAACATTTGAAGAAGGTAAAAATAAGTGGAAACATTTACCATATTCATGGAGAGGATGAATTAACATTAAAATGTTCATACTACCTAAAGCAACCTACAGATTCAATGCAATTCCTATCAAGACACCAATAGCATATTTCACAGAACTAGAACATATTCCAAAAATTTATATGGAACCACAAAAGACCCTGAATAGCCATAGCTATCGAGAAAGAAGAACAAACCTGGAGGTCTCATGCTACCTTATATCAGACTATGCTACATGGCCACAGTAAGTACTGGCATAAAAACAGACACAGGTCAATGGAAAAGAATAGAGAGCCTAGAAATAAACCCATTTGCCTTTATGGTCAATTAATATTTGACAAAGGAGGCAAAACATATGATGGGTAAAGATATTCTATTCAATAAATGGTGTTGGGAAAATTGGGCACACACAAAAGAAATGAAACTAGACTACCTTCTTATACCATACACAAGAATAAACTCAAAATAGATTAAAGACTTAAATGTTAGACTCAAATCCATAAAAATCCTAAAAGAAAACACAGGTGGTAAAATCTCTGACATTTCTTGTAGCAGTATTTTTTCTGATACATCGCCTCAGGCAAGGGAAACAACAACAAGAAAACACAAATGGGACTACATCAAACTAAAAATTCTTGCACAGCAAAAGAAACTATTAAAATGAAAAGACAACCCATTGAATAGGAGAACATATTCATCAATGATACATTTGATCAAGGGTTAATATCCACATTTTATAAAGAATTCATACAACTCAACACACAAAAAATCCAATTAAAAAATGGGCAAAGGATCTGAGTAGACACTTCTCCAAAGAGAACATACAGATGGTCAATAGACATGGGAAAAGATGCTTAACATCACTAATCCTCAGAGAAATGCAAATTAAAACCACAATGGGATATCACCTCAACATTTGTCAGAATGGAATCATCAGTAAATCAACAAACTAGTGTTGGTGAGGATGGTGGAATAAAGGGAACCTTCGTGGATTGTTGATGGTAATGTAGATTAGTGCAGCCACTGTGGAAAGCAGGATGGAGTTACCTCAAAAAATTAAAAGTGGAACAGCCTCATGACTCAATGATTCCACTTCTGGGATATATCTGAAGAAACCTGAAACACTGATTCAAAAGAATATATGCATCTCTATGTTCATTGCAGCATTATTTACAATAACCAACATTTGGAAGCAGCCCAAGTGTCCATCAATAGATAAGGATAAAAAAGCTGTGGTACATTTACACAATGGAATACTACTCAGCCATAAAAGAAGGAAATCTTGCCCTTTGTGACAGCATGGATGGACCTAGACAGCATTATGCTTAGTGAAATTAAGTAAAAAAAAAGACAAGTACCATATGATTTCATTCATATGTGGAATCTAATGAATAAAATCAAAATGAACTAAAAAACAGAAATAGATTCCTAGACAGAGATGAGACTGGCAGCTGTCAGAGGGGAGAGGGTTTCAGGGATGGGTAAGAAGGGTAAAGGTATTAAGCAAAAAAACAAACAAAACACCCAATTCAGTGACACAGGCAATAGAATGGTGGCTACAAGAGGGAAAGAGGGGTTGGGGGAGGTAGAAGAGAACATAAGGGGGACAACTTGGAAGGAAACTTGACTTGGGGTGATGAACACACAGTACAGTATACAGATGATGTAGAATTGTACACCTGAAACATATAATTTTATTAACCATTGTCACTCCAATTTAACAAAAAAGTTTAAAAAATTCTTTTTTAAATCCTTATGCTAGGACATTTTCTTTCATTGCTTTTAGAGAGAAACATCAATGTGAGAGAGAAGTATCAATTGGTTGCCTCCCATTCACATCTGGACTGGACTGGGGATCAAACCTGCAACCTAGGTATGTGCCCAGACCGGGAATCGAACCTGCAACCTTAGTTATAAGATGACACTTCAACCACTGAACCACACTGGAAAGGGCTAATAAATAGGAAATTCTTAAGCTTGATTTTCAGCTCTGCTACTGACTCCCAAAATCATTTTAGAAAAGTGCAGAGAAAAGCATTATATCTAATTGTCTTTAAAGTAGAGAGTAAATCAGAAAACTCAGATGATATATCTACCAACAGTTATTCCTCCTGATCCTATGGTTGATAATTTATTTCTGTACATTCCTAATGAGGCCTGATGTGGCTTTGGGGTCCTCTTCAGTATCTCACTTTTAGGCATGCCAATATGCCAATTATCAGTTGATGGGACTTAGTATGCAAGATAAAGCCAATTTTTCATTTCTGGCAGGGGGTTAACTGTGAAGTGAAATTATGCAGTAAATGAGATATTAGACTAGAACCCTATCATTTCTTTGTATTTGGCTATCAAGCTACCAATCTTCTTTTGTTTGAATTGCCATTATTTTGTTAATTAGCTAATTAATAATAAATAATGAATTTGAAAATACCAAAGATTATGTGTTAGGAGTTGGTTAAAGTGAAATGTGATTTGGTTAGGATCTGACTACAAATTCTAAGCATGCCTAAAGAGGTTAATGAAGCTTATATTGGTTTTGATAGTAAAGACTTAAGTTACCTCAAGCAATGAAGATACTATTGTAAAGATCAACATAAAGCAGTAGTGGAGAGAGTTATCTCATGGAAATCCAAAATATAAGTACTTCACTGATAGGCCAAACTGGGAGTAGATGCAAAGAGAGCTCAATAGCAAAAATTTTGACTCTTCTCTCTAGGGCTTATAAACATGAATTACCTATGTATCTCCTCAGTTTCCTTCTCACTGCTAGTTAGTTATTCTGTCTATTCTCTATCTCTTTTTCTATCTTTGTTTACAAATAATTATTGGTTTCTCATAACATAGACTTACCTCCTGGCTATGATACTACTTCACAACCTCCCTTTCTCCACTCTTTTTGCTTCAGTATCTGTTTACTACATACTTGAATCTTGAGATCTTCCAATTCTAATTCCCAACGGCTCATTTTTCATGCCAGGCCATTTAATTTGTCTCTGGCCAGCCATGATTTAATCTTCAGTATTGCTCTAATCAGAAGTGGTAAAAAAAGTTAGACTTCAAAACATAGCTTCTTTGTTGTTCCACAGTATAGTGGGTCAGTTTACCTTAGGACAATAATAAAGCAGGTCTTGATTGGTCTGTCTTGAGTTTGCTTAATTAAAAATTTGCTAAATATAAAAATGCTAAAAATAAAAATATCTAGTTTTTAATATATCCACAGGAGTTAAAAATTTGGCTTCTTAATTTGCATACCAGTTATTGTATTGTAATTATTACAGATTATTACCACTAATTCTTATCTAATAAGGAAGTTACTATAGATGTATCTGAGTTGTGGTTCATTTAGTTTTATAATAGAGATTAATATTAGTACAATGGCAGAAAGAGCTTTTGGATAGGTACAGAAATGGAAAAGGTCTACATGTTTTCTTAAAGTGCTAATATATTTTAAATAGTGTTTGAGATGATTAAAATGACAAAGCACATTCTTTTTGACACCCAAATCTCTTATTGGGGGGAGATAGAACACTGGGTGGGAGAATGAGGTACTAGGGAAAGGGGGTGAGGGGTGCCAGGTCATCTCACGGAAGGACTTGTTCATTGGCACTGCTTCCTGAGTCCTGTAGCTTCAAAAAAAAAAACATCAGGAGCTCTGACACAATGGAAAAGGGCTTGATCATCTTCCTAAAAGGCCAGCCCCACAATGGCTGGGGCCTGCAGCAGAGCTGTTGACTGGTAAAGACACACTCGCCAGTGTCTTGCTGTCATACAGAAGTTGATCATCCTTACACAGCCGCTGCTTGTGACCCTCGACAATGTCCTGCTTGAACACAGTGCCGGACTCCTTGGCGGCTGTGAAGATGGTGGTCTTGTGGCACTAGATCATAAGGAATAAGCCCATTGCAACCACTGCCTCTCCCATTCAACACACTGGTGCAACCACCACAAAGGACATTTTTAAGTTTTAATTGTAAGAAAATTATATAGGAAGTACAGTGTGAAACTAATTTGATTTAAAAGATTGTGTGTTCCAGGATGTAATCTAATTAATTTTTGTGCCATTAGAGCAATGAGTCATTTCTGGTAGGACTTCACAGAACAGTAATCAGGACCAGATCCCAAGAATTTTAAGTGCAATTGTTGGATTCATATCACTATTTTAACATAAACCAAGGTGGAACAATGCTCTGAAATCTTGAAAAATCTTCTCTGTTGTTGCTATGATAGTGTATATATTCTTAAGGATTTCCACCTTTGATTATTACTTTCCAGCTACCTTATTTTTTAATTTTTATTATATATTTTAAATTTTATTGTATATTCTTGTAAAATACCATAAATTCTCTGAGGAAAAATACAGGAAATAATACAAATGTAGCCTGATATACTTAAAGACTAGTATTTCCATCTGGAATGATCGTTAACATTTATTAGTGAGATATACAAGCCCAGGAAGAAATGCATATCGTGAAACAGTTTTTATCATCCGACAACAATGTATATAAATTTACTCTTCTCACTTTCAAAGTATATTTCTATTTTATAGATAGTACTATATGTATTTATCTTAACTTTTGACAAAGAGAAAATGAATTGTTTAAAATATGTTTTGGTCACAAGTCTATTATAATTTACCACTTTAGTTGTATAGGGCGTATGGTCCTTTTATTGCAATTATTAGCCCCATTTATTAGTAATATGTCTATATGAATTAGAATAAGATTTTATACATACCTAAATTGTTATTTTGAGTCTATTTTAAAGCCTTTTATTTTTTTCTTTCACTTCTTGAATGAATCAGGACCAGAAATGAGTGGAATACTATCTTAAACCAGTCAAAAATCTATTATAACCTTTATACTACTTAAATGAGGAAAGGTAAAAAACCGCAAAAAATTCCAACTGATAATTGCCCCATCCATAGACTGGCAAATTTGTCCCTCAATCCAAGTCGACCTTCCTCATCGGAGGTAAGAAAATGTTTTTATACTACTAAAATATAAGAAAAACCTGCTTATTTTTTTTGAAAAGTTTTGATAAAGCAAAAATATGGATAACATAAAGTATAAGATATTAACTTCACTTTGAACCCAACTCCATGTATTCCATTGTCTGATTATAGTTCTTGTATCTCTAGCTCACTTCCTCTAAATACTGTTATTTAGAAGTACTGGGACCTTCAATCACCTGTTTTTTTTTTTTGTTTGTTTGTTTTCCTATCTTGTAATGCCCTCCTTAGCTGGCTTAAATACCGTAGGCAGTCTTGGTTACTCTCTTGCCAATGCTTTTGACTCCTTGCTCCTCCTCCTTTTCATTTTAGTCCTTGGCGAAACAAAACCCTGGTTAATACAATTCTACACCTATGCCTATGCCTATGCCAGCATAATATGCCTGGAGAACATATGCTAGCATAAGGACTATTCTCACTTTAAATTCATGACCTTGACTCTCCATTGGAACCTTTTGCTGGTAGGCAATTAGACTATCTCCCACTCACTCATTTCACTCTTTCACTGTCTTAGACAACTATTTCATAGCTTTCCCTAATTTTCCCTTTAAAATAATTCCAAGCTTTTACTCCACGAAAACTGCTGTTTTTTAAATTTACCTCTACATTACTAAATCTATTGCTTAATTCTTATCCCATGCATACTTGATCTATCTGTACATGGCAGCACTGTTGATCACTCACTCTTCCTTGACATTATTCCTTCATTTGGCTTTTAATGTATATATTATCTTGTTTTTCCTCCTACCTTTTATTGTTATTCATTTTTAATCTTTTTTGCTCAGTCTTCTTTTTCTTACTGATCTCTTAATTAGGAGAATTTCAGGGGTCAGCTCTTTGTTTTCTACTCTATGGCACTAGTTCCTTGGTGATCTCATCCAGTCTAATAACTTTAAATACCACCTTTATGCTAAGGATTCCCAAATTAAATCCCCATCCCAGTCCTCTTTGCCAAACTCCAGGTTTATATTTTCAATTGCCTATTAATATCTCTACTTGGATGACCAATAGACATCTCAAACTTCACATGTACAAAATTGAACTGTGGCTCTTTGCCTCATCCCCAAAAGCTCTGCTACCAAAACCCTTTCCCCATCTTAGCTGATGGCTAACCCAGCCTTTCAGTATCTGAAGCCAGATGCCTTGGAAGTCATACTTGATTCCTTTCTTAAACTTCACTTCTAATGGGCTGACTTCTAGCTGTATATTATATACAAAATCTGACTACTTCTCAACATGTCTACTGCTATTGAGCCATACTGGACTGAGCCACCATCATTTCACACTTTATTCAAATAGCTTCAATAACAGTTTCCATTTTCTTGTCCCTTATGGGCAGTTCTGTTATCCCCTTAGTAGTTATTAAATATATCAAGATTTGGAAGTAGAGCATTATGTGTGTCCTGATGTGAAGCAATATGAAATATAGGGCACCAACCCTGGCCAGTGTGGCTCATCCTGTAGCCAAAAGGGCTCGATTTCCAGTCAGGGCCATGCCTATGTTGTGGGTTTGGTCTCCTAGTCCAGTTGCATACGGGAGGCAGCCAGTTGATGCTTCTCTTTTGTATAAGTGTGTCTGACTCTCCCTTCCTCTTTCTTTAAAATCAGTGGAAAAAATGTCCTTAGGTGAGGATTAAAAAAAAGAAAAAAATAAAGAAATACAGGGCACCATTCATAAAGTATTCTTGCCCCAATTTGTGTCCTCTGAAGGCTATACAGTTAACTGGTTACAGGAGATAGAGGGACTGGAAAAATAAAGACACCATAAGGATTTTATAAAATAAATTTGGATTGTAGAAGAATCTATAAGAAAACTGGTCCAGTCTTTAAAAAGTCAAAGCTACAAGGAGAAAAAAAAACATCTGGAAAATCCTTCCTGATTAAGTTTTTTAAGAGACTTGACAAATCCACTGTGTTCTCTTTGAATTCTAGGTCCAGGAAAAAATTTGAGAACAGTTGGAAATTTGAATATGAACTGGATATTAGTTGACATTAAGTAATTGTTATTTTTCTTAGATGTGAAAATAGTATTGTGATTTTGTTATAGAAACACTGTATTTTTACAAGATGGATGCCAAAGTATTTAGGAGTATATTGTCTTGATGCCTGATTTACTTTGAGTGGTTGAGAGAGAGAGAGAGAAAGGGGAAGTAAATGTGGCACAATGTTAACTTTTAAATCTGAATAGTAGGTATTTGGACATCCTTAGTATTATTCCTTTTATTTGTATGTATGCTTAGAATTTTTCATAAAACAATAAAAATATGTCAGATGTTTTCATGCTTCTATTAAAACACTATGTTGACTTCCCATTTTGTAAGATGAAGATCTTGCCATGGCCTGGAAGGCCTTATATAATTTGTTCCTCATCCTCCTCAGTTTTCTTATTTTAACTCCTGCTTCTCTTTCCCCTACACTGTCTACGTCAATCATTCTAGTACTAGAACTCTCTCATCTTAATGCCTTTGTTTTAGTTCTCCCTGGAGATCTTTCCTTCTATATCTCTCCTTGGCTAGTTCCTTCTTTACCTGCAAGTTTGTACTCAGATCTCACCTTTTCTCTGAGAACTATCTCGACTATTATTTTCCCAATTTTTCTTTCCCTGTTCTTACTCTTTTTTTCCCAGTACTTACCACTTTCTAATGTACTATATAACTTATCAGATGTTTGCCTTGGGTGAAAAATTTAAGAGGGGCACCAAAAAATTCAGTAAATAATAAAAATGTTTTAACAAGTGCTGGCAAGGTTGTGGAGAAAAAGGAACCCTAGTACACTATCGGTGGGAATGCAGAATGATGCAGCCACTGTGGAAAACAGTATGGAATTTCCTCAAAAAACTAAAAATGGAACTGCCTTTTGACCTGGCAACTCCACTGCTGGGACTCTACCCTAAGAACCCTGAAACACCAATTCAAGAGAACCTATGCACCCCAGTGTTCATAGCAGTGCAATTTACAATAGCCAAGTGCTGGAAACAGCTTAAGTGCCCATCACTAAATGAGTGGATCAAAAAACTATGGTACATTTATACAATGGAATACTACACAGCAGAAAGGAAGATGGTACTCCTATCCTTAGTGAGAACATGGATGGAACTGGAGAGCATTATGCTAAGTGAAGTAAGGCAGGTGGTAAAAGACAAATACCATATGATCTCACCTATAAGTGGAACCTAATCAACAAAACAAACAAGCGAGCAATCTAGAACCAGAGACATGGAAATAAAGAACAAACTGACAGTGATTGGTGGTGGGGAGCATAACAGGGAAAAGCGGAAAGGTCGTTAAGGAACATGTATAAAGGACGCATGGACAAAGACAAGGAGGGGATTGAATGTGGAAGGTGGGAGTGGGTAGGGTGGAGGAGAGTAATGGGGGGAAATGGGGACAACTATAATTGAACAATAATTCAAAAAATTTTAAAAAGATAAATATTTTAATACAAGATTTCAAAAATGAAACAATGCCAAAAATCCATGATGGCAAGATACCAACATTTTGATAGTACCACGCCTAGCCATTTTAGAGTCCAAAAAAAGAGGCAAAATATGTGCCCCTATATATAACTTTTTAAATATTTTAAGTGATTAATAGATTTATGAAGATATTATTGATGAGTTTGCTTCCATTAAAACATGGAAAGTAATAATAAGAAAAAAAAGAAAAAACAAGAAAAGTAAAATCATAATAAATTCATGTTTGGTATAAACAGAAGGGTTAACCTAAAATAATGTTATGAGTTTTAATATGTACTTTTAAAATTTTCAACATTTTTTCAGTTACTTTGCTGTTCTGCAAAAAGTTAACCATTAAAAAATGTATGTTTTAGAAGTATGGGAAGTTTCACACCATGTGTGGCAAATAGTAATCAGAAGGGATACCTCAGGAGCGAGGGATCCTAGCCCCATACCAGACCACCCAGCCCAGGGTTCCATTGCCAGAAAGATAAGTTCCCGTAACTTCTGGCTGTGAAAATCAGTGGGGGTTGGGGCAGCAGAAGAAACTGTGGGATCCCTCTTAAATGTTCCACAATAGACTTAGAACTTAAACAGACTCATTCCCCCTGGGCTCCAGCGTCAGAGCAGCAGCTTGAGGGGTACCAGTGGCATATGGAGAGAAACTGAAGTGTTTGGCATCAGGGCAAGTGCTGGGGGACAACTTCCTCCCAGAGGGAACTCCAGAGGCCAGGAAGCACAGAGTCCCAAAGAAGATGGACACAAAGAGGACCACACCAAGACACATCATAAGTAAAATGCCAAAGGTGAAATATAAAGAACCTTAAAAGCATCAAGAGAAAAGCAGATAGTTACCTACAAAGGAGTTCCCATTATGCTGTCAGCTGATTTTTTCAAAAGAAACTTTTCAGGCCAGAAAAGACTGGCAAGAAGTATTCAAAGTGATAAAAAGCAAGGACCTAACAACCTAGATTACTCAATCCAGCAAAGCTGTCATTTAGAATTGAAGGGCTGGTAAAGTGCTTCCCAGACAATGTAAAGCTAAAAGGAGTTCATCACCACCAAGCCATTATTATATGACATGTTAAAGGGACTTATTTAAGAAAAAGAAGATCAAAACTATGAACATTAAAATGGCAATACACAACTATCAACAATTGGATCTGGAAAACAAACTAAGCAAACAAACAGAACAGAAACAGAATCATAAATATGGAGATCATTTGGAGGGTTATCAGTTGGGAGGGGGAAGGTAGAGAATGGGGGAAAAGTTTCAGGGATTAAGAAATACAAATTGGTAGGTCCAGAATAGACGGGGGATGTTAAGAACAGTATAGGAAATGGAATAGCGAAAGAACTTGTATGCATTACCCATGGACATGAGCTAAGAGGGGCAGGGATGATTGCTGGAGGGAATGGGTGATACCAGGTGGAGGGAGGGAAAGGGGGAAAAGTGGAACAACTGTGATCAATAAAATATATTGAAAAAAATAAATAAAAATTAAAATAAACCAAATGTAAAAAAAAGAAATATGCATATTAGGGCCCATATTTTTCCTTATTCCTCAGGCTCTATAGTACTTTATTTAAGTTTTTGGTATTTTTTTTATCATGATTTTTTTTGCATTGAATAGATTTTAAAAGAATATTTATCTTAATTACTGAGCTTTTGTTGCCCCCTTAGATTTTGCACCTGAGGGTACTTCATTTGGATGGTGTGGTTCACTTGATTGAGTGCCAGCTTGCAAACCAAAGAGTCACCGGTTCAATTCCAAGTCTAGGGTTCATGCCTGGGTTGCAGGCCAGATCCCCACTAGGGGGCACATTAGAAGCAACCATACATTAATGTTTTTCTCCCTCTCTTCCTCCCTTCCCCTCTCTAAAAATAAATAAAATATTTAAAAATATATTAAATAATTGCAAGATTAAAAAAACAGTAAAATGTTTACTTCCACAGATATTTTTCTCCTATAAAATTTTAATACATTTTTATAAAAGGTGAGGTCATATTTACTTTAGACTTTTGAAGGTTTTGCAAATATTTAATAGCTATTAAATGTTATGGTATTAATAATATAGTATAGTATTAGCTATTAACAATATAGTATAGTAGGAAATAATCTTTTCTGATTCCTTACCCAAGTATATATTTATTGCTTTTAGAGAGAGAAAAGGGTGGGGGGAGAGAGACAAGCATCCATCAGTGCCTCCTGTGTGTGCCCCAAAAGGGGATTGAAACTTAACCTAGGTATGGGCCCTGACTGGGGATTGAACCCACAACCTTTTGATGTATGGGACAAGGCTCCAACCAACTGATCCACCCAACCAAGGTGGGAATAATATTGAAATACTTTGGTGTTCAAAATACTGTGTAACATACGGCATACTTAACTACCAGAGCTGTAGAGACATCTTTAGCTGTTGGTTAATTTTCTGTGATAAAAAGTATGGAAGTAATTTACTTGATCTATAAAAACAACTTCAAAACATTCAGTTCAAGAGCCATTTTTATCTTTGATAAAAATTATTGGCCCTGGCTGAGTAGCTTAGCTGGTTAGAATGTCATCCTAATACCCCAAGATTGTGGTCAGGGTGCACATACAAGAATCAACCAATGAATGCATAAATAAGTGGGACAACAAATTGATGTCTCTCTCTCTCTCTCTCTCTCTCCCCCCTCTCTCCCCCTCTCTCTAAAATCAGTAAATAAGAAATCACTAATATTAATTTTGTGTCATTATTACTGCAAAATGTTAACATTTTTTTCAGATGTTTAATATTGTAAAGTATGATTGTTTAAATGCTTTGACTTTTAATATGTAGTGATCTAAGTATTCTTCTAAATAGATGGATTTAATTGAAGTCATAACATAACTTTAATAGAAAAGGAGTTAGTATATATAAGCACAGATAAGCTACGCTTACAGTCATGCTCTATTTAAGAACAACCACGCCTTTTCCCATCACTGGTCAGGAATAGATTCTTCCTAGAATTCTTGGAAAGCAAAATATTCCCTAAACCACAGTATTCACACTTTTGCAGGTGCCGAGAACTAGCAATCATCACACTGTGCTAGGGAGACAATACATAAATGATAAGGAATCTACAAGGTCATCCCGATGGAACTGAGTATTTAGGGATTGGGGGAGTGGGAAATGTTGGCAATAAGAAAACTGACCTTGGTGGTCTAGTATCCTTACTGCAGGCCACAGAAAGAACAGTCTATGTCAGAGATATTAGGGTAATCTAGGACTACATCTGTGGCCTTCTTTCCAAGGGAAAATGTGTTCCAAGTGCCAAGTAGCCAACTTAACTAATTTTTGACTCTTCATTTTGTGTTTATTCAGAAGGATGAATGTATTCCCTGTTTATTTCAATTATGATAATTAAATTTAAAATTTAGAGGACATCAATTGAGTTTTTCACTTTAAAGATATTTTAGCTGATGTTCTTCTCAATTTATTTAGTTGGTGGAACTTCATATTTTTTATGTCCCTGAAGGATCATGGAACTATAAGCTAAATACAATTTCATTAGAATTTGTTGACAAATTCATTTCAGCTGGATTTCTAAGGCAAGTATATTTGTGGTAATGTTACAACATGCCTGAAAAAGCAATCTTTTTTTTTCTACAGAGAAAAATGCTTTCTGGAAATTTAAAAATTGTAAGTGAAAAATATCTTGCCCATGTGATGGATCCAGTTCCTAACTTAATGCATACTATCAATAAATAGTACTATATAACAGTTAAATAAAAAAATGCTATAGGAACAGATGTCACTTAGACATAGTTCTGCCACCCACAAAACAGGGTATAATCTGCATTACTATTGTCATACACAAAGATAATTAAGAGAGAAATTATTTGAAACTAGAAATCTTTTGAAGAGCTGTGAGTAGTGGCTGCATTAGTATATTCACAATGACTTTTCACTGAAGTATTTAAAAATATAAATGGAGAATATATTTATATGTGTATGTACACTTATATATACATATATATATATTTTCACATTCACCCACACACATGACAACAGGTGATCTGACTGCCTGTTATTATTTCTCTTATGTGTACCTCAGTCTTCCCCACCACTTTCTTCAAAGTATACTAGCCTCTTTTCTGTTCCAGAACATATTAAGACATAGAGACTCAGAACCCTTGTACTTACTCCTTTTGTCTAGAATGCCCTTTCTCCTTTACATATGCCATCTAATATCCTTCAGGTCTTTACTCAAGTATTATTTTTTGTTTAGATCTTCTCTGATCACTGTATTTTAAATTTCCTTCCCTGTTTTATTTTTCTCTATAGTACTTAGCAGTGTCTTATAAATTATATATTTTTCTTAATTTGTTAAGCTTTCTATCCTACCACTAGATTGTAAGGACTGTAAGGACAGAGAATTTTGTCTGTTTTGTTGATTGTCGTATTCCTATTGCTTAGAAATATGCCTGACACTTAGTAGGTGCTCAATAAATATTTGTTTGAAGAATTCATTATATAATGTTTCCCATAAGATCCTAGGAAAGAAAACAAGAACTCATAATAAACGTAAATTACACCTTTATATTTTAGATGTTGAGGAATGAAGGATCCCTAAAAAAGCAAAGATGTGGAGTTTGACAACATTTGGACATCAAAGAAATTTTTAAGCACTAGGTATTTTTAAGCATTAGGTAGTCCGGTCAAACTTCCAAAATAAATTATCTATGGCTAAATCATTCTTTAACATATGTATAAAAGTATATAAAAAGCAAAATTTCACCCTGGCTGGTGTGGCTAAATGGGTTGAGTGCCTGCCGGTGAACCAAAAAGACACTGGTTTGACTCCCAGCCAGGGCACATGTCTGGATTGATGGCCAGGTTCTGGTAGGAGGTGTGTGAGGGACAACTGATGTATATTTCTTTCCTCTTGCCCTCCTTTCCCCTCTAAAAAAATTAATAGCAAAATAAATAAATGAATAGATAGATAGATAAATAAATAAATGTAGCAAAGTTTTGGTTTAACAATAAAATTGGAGGGTGGTTAAGAAAAATGCACAAGGATTTTCCTTTTAGTACAAAAAGGATTTTGCCCTGGCCAGGTGGCTCAGTTGGTTGGACTGTGGCCCCCTTGGTTGGAGTGCTGTCCTGTACATCAAAAGGTTGCAGGTTCAATCCCTGGTTGTGGTGTGGATGGGAAGCAACCAATTGATGTTTCTCTCTCACACAGATGTTTTGCTCACTATCTCTCTCTCACCTGCTCTTCACCCCTTCCTCTCTCTCTGAAATCAGTAAAAAAAGCATATCTTTGGGTGAGGATTTTAAAAAGGGGTTTTTAATAAAGTATTCATTTGCATAATTTTAAAAAGCTGACTTAAAATAATTTATTTTCAAAATATCTACAGCTCTGACAGTGTAGTTTAGTTGGTTAGAGCAGCATGAGATATGTCAAGGTTGTGGGTTCAATCTTTGGTCAGGGCACATAGAAGAAGCAATCAATGAATATAACAAATCAATCTCTTTCCCTCTCTTTCTCTTTACCCCCTACCCATTACTCTCTATAAAAAAGTCAATAAATAAAATTTTAAAAAATATTTTAAAAAGTCTACAAAGTGTCAAGCAACATAAAACTCAATATATTAAGAGGTAAGTGATACATTTAATTAGTATTTGTGTTTGAGATAGCTGAGTAAATTTACCAATTTTTTTTTAAGTTCTCACCTGAGGATTTTTAAAATTGATTTTAGAGAGAGAGGAGGGGAGAGAAAGAGAGAAACATCGAAGTGAGAGAGAAACATTGATTGGTTGTCTCCTGTACATGTGCCCTAACTAGGGATCAAACCTGCGGCCTAGTATGGGCCCTGACTAGGAATCAACCTGCAACCTTTTGGTGCATGAGATGATGCTCCAACCAACTGAGCCACCCAGCCAGGGCAAGTTATCAATCTTTAATACAGCTGAAACTTACTTTGTTTTACATTATAAAGCAATGTCATATTTCAGAGTGTCTCTTCACCTTACTTTACAAGCCCTGAGGGAGCATCTTGGTGAATTCCTTGGTGAAGATGCTGTTGCAGAAAAATTTTTATTTCTGAAATACATTGGAAATAATCTAGCTGTGGTAAGTTTTTAAATTTTCTTTCCTTTTGATTAAAGAAAATCTTATCTTAACAAATTATGTTTTTTTAATGCTCATCAACTCAGCTCCTTAACTACTCAGTCACAATGAAATGAAGTATCACTAAGCACACAGATAATCAAGAACAGATGGATATTATTGGCATATTATCAGGCACTAAAATGATGGGGGTATTTTTTTTTATGTGCGAATTTCCCTGGGAAGAAAATGAAGAAAAATTTAAAATGTAATCATATAAGTAAATGTAGTTTTTAATTTATGTAGTTTTAAAAAGAGTAGAAGAGCAGGAGAGAAACATTGATAGGTTGCCCTTCCCACGCCTCCAAGCAGGAACCTGGTCTGCAACCCAGGAAGGAACCCAACTGGTGACCTTTTGGTTTGTGGGACTACACCCAACCTACTGAGCCACACCAGTCAGGGCCATATTTTTAAATTGAAATGATAGTATTTAAAAGCCTTTTAAACAAGTACATGTGTTTGGAAGAAAAATGGGTTCTCATTGCTTGTGCCACAACTAGTCTTGGTTGACATGAAATGGTATGACTCCTACATACTTTTTTTTGTATCAGCTGTTATCTATTGAACACTCCTATTTGTAGTTTGTATGGTTTAGTGGCATTTCTAAGTAGGGAGCTTCCTAGCTAAAATTCTCAATCCAGGAATCCATCAGATCTCAAATTTTCTGGTTTCTCATATGTATATAAGGTTTATTTGTTTAATCAAGATTTTTCATATGTAAACTCTTTAAAATGCTATTATTATGTTAACTAACTACTCTAGTTAACATATCATTATTATACATTTATTTATGTGGCTATTTGTTTAAGATCTAACTCTACCATTAGACTCTAGCTCCCTGTGAGGAGAGAGTTTATTTTAATTCATTATTGTATTCATAACCAGTGCCTAACACGAGACATTTAAATGTTAATTGAACAAATTAAGTTATGACTTTTAATGCAAAAAAATAAACATTTCCCTCCAAAGTAGTACTGTAAAAGAATTTGCTATGTAGAATTTTTAGAATCAGTAGTTAGATTTGAAGTTTTTTTGTCATCAGAGTTCTATTTACTTTGTCATGATATTGATTTACTGATTTTTGGGTTAATTTTCCTCAAATGAGGAAAAAAGTGAACAACTCTCATAACTTTTTGTTTCATGATATATAAAGTTATAAAATATCAATCACAGAATCCTAGATTGGAAGGGACCTTAAAGGTAATTTAAGTCAACGTCTAAAATTCTTCTAATATTTTATTATTTTCAACAAATATTTATTGATGTTTTTTCTGTGTATAAAATGAGAAAAAAGAATTGAATAATGATTCTGCCCTTTAGGAGTATTCTAGTGAAGATAAAATATGTACATAAATAATATAGCGTCTTTTGTATATTCAAAAGAAAAAGAGATTACTTCCAGCAGGAGAAGAGGGGAGATGGAGAACTTCAAGGAAGAAGTGACATTCATTTTGGATTTTGAAAGATAAATACTTGATCTTGCAAAGATGTTGGGTGGGAAAAGCTTTCTGAGTAGAGAAAATAGAATGAGCACAGCAGTGGAGAAGCAGGCGACTAAGAAAGAGTAAGTGGTTCGTTTTTGATTGGATGAAAGGGAATAGTAGATAAGTTATAAAAGTAGTTTGTTGAAGGTCTTGAATGCCAGATTAATGAGTTTAGATTTTTTTTTCTGAAGTTTTGAGCAAAAGATGCCATGATGAAAGCTGTAAGAGACTAGAAAAAGGGACTGTAATCAGAAAACTTTTGTAGCAGTTAGGCAAGCAGTAAGGAGGTTCTGACGAATGGGCTGATTTTCAGATTTCATCTACTACTTTTTTCTACTTGGTTCTATATTTTAGACACAAAAATCTTCCTTTGGTCCTCAACAGCAAACTCACTTCTGATTTATGGTGTCTTTACTTGCCTAGAAATCACTTACCCCTGATTTCGAATACTTTGCCTCTTCATGGTTCAGGTCTCAGTTCAAATATTATCTTTTTAAAATGGCCTTCTCTGACCACCTAGTTTTTAGATACTCTTTCTCTAAGGTACACTCTATTACCTCATTCTATTTTATTTTCATAAATCCCTATTCTAAATCATGTTTACTTAACATCTACTCTCCCAAAGTAGAATGTTAAGCTACACAAGAGCAGAAACTGTGCCTTGTTTACCATTGCATCCCCACCATACACAACACTGCTCGACACATAATATGCCCTCAATATTTGTTGAATCAATGGTTGACAAATGAATATTTAGGAAATAAAGAGTACAATGTTAGACTCTGGAGCCAGATTACCTGGTTTTGAATCCCAACTTGGAAACTTCCTAGTTGTGAAATCTTGGGAAGTGGCTTAACTTCTCTTTGCCTCAGTCTTGTCTGTGAATTACAGATATGTGGGCCTATCACTTAGAATTTTGAGTATTAACTGAGATAATATATGAAAAACACTTAGAAAAGTGCCTGACACACAGTGAGTTCATGCAAATGATGTCCATAATTATTATTAAATGACAAAGAATTTATGTTTAGTACAGAAAATAGAAATAGGATTATAGTCTACATTTTCTAGAATCTAGCCTTAGTCACCAGCTTTTAGGTTAGATTTCTATGTCATAGATATGTGCCTTCAGGAGAAAAAAAAAGTAGGGGTAAAAATAATTGAAGAATCTTACAAAAGCTTTAATTTTTTTTCTCATTTACTTATTTCTAGGTGAAGGCAAACCAAGAATCAGAACTGAAACTCAAATCATTTGTTCCTCCATATGTATGTAACATGACATTTTAAATTTATTCTATTTTTATCTTATTGGCTAATTTTTTAACTAACTGTTTCTTAAATTACTTATTATTTAATATTTCATATATGTTTTAGACTCTTCAACCAGAATTATATTTGCTTCCTGTAATGGATCATTTCGGAAATATTTATTCAGCATCAACAGTTTCTTCAGATGGGCAGCAGACTAATAATGGTGTTGCTGAGGCTGTCAAAATAATCCACAGACCAGTTAGTATAACTCTGTCAAAGGAAGAACCTGGAACAGATCCAAGTTTTTTAGAAAATACTTTGAAAAAGCTTCTAAACAAGAGTAAGGAAGAAGGTGATTTCAACTGCAATGGGAGAGACAAAGAGGTTATTATATTATATTTTAGCATTCAGGTCTGTAAGCAAATTCTGGGCCAATCTAGCCTTACAAATATGGGCACCATAAAAGGGAAAGCTACAATTCAACTTGGGGATTTTAAAAATAGTTTCACCAGGTGGGGAAAAAAAACAACTTAAGTACTATGGTAAAATAGAAACAAAATCAAAACACTTACTGCACTCTAACTCTACCACTTTTATTTACTTCTTTTACAATATTATAGTTACAGATAAAGTTAAGGCTAAATGAGAAAAGAAGGAATTGATTATTGCATAAAACCTTGGTATTATTTTAAATCCACAGGCTCTTAGTTAGCAAAACAGTATTTTATTTTATTTTTAATTTTTAATTAATTTATTTTTCCAAATACATTTGTCTCTGCCTTCCCCCCACCCCACCCCCGGCTCCCTCCCTCAATCCTTTCCCTTTGGTTTTGTCCATGAGTCCTTGCTATATGTTCCTTGACTTTCCCCTTCCCTTTCTTTTCCCCTGCCTACCCCTCCCTCCTTCCCTCTTGTCTCTGTTGGTTTCTTTTCCTTTCAGTGTTGCTGGCCTTATTTTCCTAGCAAAGCAGTATTTTAAACCAAAGCAAAACAACTTTAATCTTGGTAGACATTTGTGTTTTAAAAAATTTTAGACTTTTAATCTTATACCCATCAATTTATTAATAATTCAGTTCTTAAAAACTAGTAATTAAAAAAACCAAATTTATTAATATTTATTTATTAATTAATATCAATAAATTTAATCACATTTAATCACATTAAATTTATTAATATTAATGAACAGCAACATTATCGATGTTATTAATATTAATATTAAAAATATTGTTGGTATATTTATTAATATTAATAAAATATTAATGTTTTTAATTTGCTTAAAATCAAATTTATTAATACTTATTAAATAAATATTATTAAAATTTTTCCTCAAAAAGCTGAAAATGGAACTGCCTTTTGATCCAGTGATTCCCCTGCTGGGACTATACCCTAAGAATACCAAAACGCCAATACAAAAGAACCTATGCACCCCAGTGTTCATAGCAGCACAATTTACAATAGCCAAGTGTTGAAAGCAACATAAATGCCCATCAGTAGATGATTGGATCAAAAAGTAATGGTACATATACACAATGGAATACTACGCAGCAGAAAGAAAAAAAGAAGTACTAAACTTCGTAACAGCATGGATGGAACTGGAGAGCATTATGCTAAGCGAAATAAGCCAGGGAACGAAAGACAAATACCATACGATCTCACCTATAAGTGGAACCTAACGAACAATACAAAGATGCAAGGAAAATAAGACCAGCAACACTGAAAGGAAAAGAAACCAACAGAGACAAGAGGGAAGGAGGGAGGGGGGGCGGGGAAAAAGGAAGGGAAGGGGAAAGTCAAGGAACATATAGCAAGGACTCATGGACAAAACCAAAGGGGAAGAGCTGAGGGAGGGAGGGAGAGAGGGGGCAAGGGAAAGTGGTGGGGGGTAGGCAGAGACAAATGTATTTGAAAAAATAAAAAAAATAAAAATAAAAATAAATAAAATTAAAAAAATAAATTAAATAAAGTTGGTATTATACTCTACTTTTTACCTTAATCCATACAATACATAAACTGTGATGAAAAAGTAAATATACTAAACATTTATAAATGAAATGAATCCCCCTAACCAAGGCTAATGACAACAGCCATTACAGCTGCAAAATACACTTGTCCTTAAACAGTTGCATTGTTTTCTATCTGTGATTACAGCAATTCTTATATTCTAAGTTTACACTATACCCAGTGACCTCCCAAACTTAGCACCTTCTTTAACCATAGGCACACCTAACATTTACTGTTCTCATGTGATTTACTATTCCTGGCGAGACGTGTGGATGAGATCCACATATTTTATTACTTGACTCCAGTGAGATGCACAGTAGAGCCTTTACCTCCTTCTTTACCTAGGTGTGTCTCTGCAATGTTAAATATCACTTTCCACTCATGGTATCACTTAAAGGTTAGAGGGGGGAAAAACACTTTGGGAAAAAATTCAGAGTGGAATGCCAGTATTCCTGAAAAGTGCAAGGTCAAGAGGCAAATGAAGTGTGGCAATTGCCCTACATAAAGCTGTGAGTAGTGTCATATTTCATAACATGGGTTACTGGCCAAATTCCTGAACTCTGCTACTTATACAAAAACCAAAAAAAAAAAAATCTTTGGTGGGATTATTTATTTAATATTATGAATTTTGTGCAAGAAGAAAGTAAAGATTAACAATAATTCTACCATAGAGAGACCAATTTTGTTAGTAGTTGGTGTATATTCTTCGAGTTACTTTTTTTAGTTCTTATATATAATAAATATTTTTTAATTTGAAAAATGAGGACACACAAACTTTTAAAGCCTGTTCTTTTATTTAGAACATATCATAGATATTTTGTATTAAGAAATATAGATCTACATCACTGTAGAATTCCCTTGTGGTATAGTTTATTTATCCAACTGCATATTGTTTTTGCTATTATGAATAGTGGCTGTGAGCAACATCTTTCTAAATACAGCTTCGTGCATTTTCTCCTCATTTTTTTTTTAATTTTAGAAGTTTAATGGTTGTTTCTAAGTAATTTTTTTTGGTTATTCTTTTTTTTTCTTAAAAAACTTTACAACCTTGTGTGCCTCTGCTCATATCATCTTTCTTCCCCAATAGTAATTATGCTTTGTATCATTGCATAATTCTGAGCCTAAGATGATCCCAGCAGCTTTTGCCTCTACCTTTCCTTTAGCCTTTGCCTAGGACTGTTGGTGGGAGGGATTCCTACCCTCTCTCAGGGATAAAACTGTTCAAGACTAACGCTGGGAGGGGAATTAACCTGTTCCTCTCCCTAGAGCAGGTGGCTTTTGCTTCTATCCCTCCTTGAGAGCCATTGGATTTTTACCTGGGTCCTGTGACTGGAGAGTTTCTTGCTTTTCCCCAATTGGCTAAGTCTTTTGCTTTCTGTGAGAGAAAAGTGCTGAGAAGGATGGGGTTTCATACCTGTGTGCCACGAATGGCTCTTTTAGGTTTCCTGCCTTTCCCCAAGACTTTCTTGAGAGCATATGATATAGCCACATGGCAAGAGGCTTGCTATTAGGTATTGACTACATTTTGTGTCTGGGGATCCTAGAGATTCCAAAATATCTTGGTAGCCCATATTGGCCTTTGCAGTTCCTTAAAATTTTAGCTGCTTTATTCTTACTTCTTTTGATAGCAGTTACCAATGCCTTCTGTGCTCTGCCAAAGGTGAAACAACCAGTTTATCCTCAGAGAGAATTGTAATTCAATTCCTTCCCACCTCAACTTTCTGATTACTTCTAGAAAAGTTATTTTATAGATGATCTGCCTTTTACTTCTTGTTCAGATGGGAGCACTCTTTTGACTTTCTACATCCTAAGCAAAAGTGGAATGACAGTTCTTAAATTTTAATATAGCCATGTTAGAGGCACTTTTGTTTTTGGTTAGTGTTATTTATGTCTTCTTTAAAAATCCCTTTTCTACCCTGAGATCATGAAAATAGGGTCTTGGATTATCTTGCAAACATTTTATGGTTTGCTTTTCACATTCAGTTCATTAGTCTACTGGGAATTAATTTTTATGCATGATGTGAGATAGGGCTTCTTAGTATTTTTCCATATTTATACTATCATTTATTGATGATAGTTGTGTAGTTCTTAGAATTGCCAAATTGCTCTTTAGTAGTGCATGAGAATTCAAAATATCTGAGCCCTAACATTGTGATGTTATTAAATATGGCTAATAAGAACATGAACAGTATGTTTTACAAGTCCTTTAATAAAGGAAAAAGGAAATACAGTATTGCTTTACCCATTTTTACACATTGAAGTGGGTATTCCCTTCTATTAGTTATCTTCTGTTCTTTTGTATGAGCCTGTGCGCTACATCTTCTCATTTTTTTAAAAGGGTTTTTCTTTAAGATTTTATTTATTTATTTTAGAGAGGGGGAAGGGAAGGAGAAAGAGAGGGAGAGAAACATCAATGTGTGGTTCCCTTTCGCACTCCCCCTACTGGGGACCTGGCTTGCAACCCAGGCATGTGCCCTAGACTGGGAATTGAACTGGTGACCCTTTGGTTCACAGGCCAGCACTCAATCCACTGAGCCACACCAGCCAGGGTTCATTTTTGACATAACTCAACTTTAACATGTTTTATACTTGACTCCATCATTGCTCCCAAACCAATATATTTTCTTGACTTCTTTTTTTGCTTTCATCATATTTCCAGTTGTTCTGACTTTAAGCTTTGAAATTTTCCTTGTTGTAGAATAATTTTGAGGTAAAAGAACCTTAAAAATTATCTTGGCTAATCTCCTTGCTTATAATCTCCTTTCCAATCTATCCTTTAGATCCTGTCAGAGTCATTCTTACAAGTTGGATTATCTGTCTCCCTGCCTAAAAATCTTTGAATCACTCGATTACTACTCCAAGCCCAAGTTCCTTATGGTGGCATAGAGAACCCTCATACTCTGACTTCAAACCAAGAGTTACAAACGTTTAGCCTTGCAGATTGTTCTCTGCCTAACTCCAGATGGCTTTCCTTCACATAGATCATGATATAAATGGAGCTTTCGGGATTTGCACAGTAAGGTAATTGGTTCAATAATTTTTTTCAATAATGTTTAGCTATTATTATAATAGTTTAGTGGTAGGAAGGGGAGGAACAAGTACCATGTACAACTGGAAAAATACATAGGGATTTGAACTGCAAGAACCTTGCTTGCAAAAAGCTAAGGAATTATGTAGGCAATGGGAAGCATGCTGAAATTTTTAACAGGAATGACATGATTGAATTTAAGTTCCAGAAAAACAACTTAGGTGACCAC